ACTCAACTCAAGTTGCACCTAATAATTAATAGCAACAGCAACAACCCTTAAAGTGCTAATGCTGTTAAACATTGTTTTGCCAGATAAAATACTCTACTATCCAGTTTGCTCTTCACCTTACCTCCTGTCCCTGTTTTGTAGATGGGAACAGTGACTCTTCCGGAAGTAAGTTTCTTGCCTTCAGTCTGGAGGGTGGGGGTAAATGCTTAGCTGGCTCAAAGGCAGCACTTCTCTGGTGATTTGAATCCACCAGCAGCTCTCAGGGAGAAGGATGGGCGGTCTCCTTCCATGAGATTTACAGCCCAGAAACACACTGGAGGGCCTGGGAGGAGCTGCTTTGGACCTAATGGCAGTTTTTCAGTTTTAGTGTCTGTAGGTGGAGCACCCCATGCTGTATGCCCCATTAGCATAAGGTTTGAATGGAGAGGGCTTATTACTTAGGGTTCTGCTAAAGCTGGGCCTGCCTGTCCCCTACAAAGCCTGGGGTTCCTAAGAGACTGTTAAGTTCTGCCTCCTGCATGCAAATGAGCGGGGCTGTTTGCACTGGCAGCTGGGTAATTGCATGTCCTAATTGGGAGCAGCCAGCACATGGCGTCTCCAGCACCCGTCTACCTGGCACCCAGCCTCCTTTGGGAAGCGTCTGTGGAATTCGCCCCGTGGCCTTCCCAGTGGCCTCGGTCACCTTGGTGATTGGAGTGAAGCCTCCCACACAGAGCTCAGCAGCAGACAGCTACCCAGCTGGCTGTGAGTCTTGAGGACACAAAAGAAAGCCTTAAACAGGTTGTGGTGAGAGCAGGTGGGGCGGCATCCTCCCTTGGGTGCGACTCACCTGGCCTGACTTCCCCTTGGCGCTCTCCTCGCTGAGAGGCAGGGGGAGGATAGGGAGGATAGGGACACAGTCTCTGAAGCCAAAGTGCCTAGGTTCGAGTCTTGGCTCCAGCATTTCTCAGAAGTCTTGACTACAGCTCTTTATAAGTTACCTGAACCTCAGTGTATCCATCCAGAAAATGGAGAGAATAATACGGCGTCACCTTCACTAGAGCCGTCATAAGGATTAAAGGAGCTGACCTGTGCACAAGTCCCTGGGTGGTGCACATGGTCAAGTGCTCCGCTACTAGTCTAAAGGATGATGGTTCAAACCCACTCAAAGGAGTGGTGACCTGTTTCCAGGAGGCCACAGCCTTGAAAATCTTGTGGAGAGCGGATTGCCGCTGCACCCCTGGGACCAACCAGAGTCAGAATCAACACGATGGCAAGAAACAGAGCTTTGTGTAGCCTGGGCGCACACTGAGGGCATCCCGCAAGGCCTGGGCGAGGCAGGCTAGTTAGTGGATCTTTTCCCCCAGCAGTCACCCTGCAAAAGCTGAGATCCATGTCAGGGAAGTGTAGTGCGCATAGCTTTCACCAAAAGGAGCAACAGAAGGGTCGCTGAGGTTGCTAAAGGTGGTTAAGAGACTACACCCTGTCAAAGACGGAAACACTGTGATACGGAGAATACAAGAAGATGAGCTTGTTGAGTTTTGGCTCCCACAGGTCTCGCTGTGTCACGTGCCAGTCCCTCCACCCCTGGCCTGACATGCATGGCCCTCATAGCCATCTGCTACAGGGAGGAAATTAAGGCAAAGGGACAAGGACTGATGTCTCAGCTCTAAGAGCTGGTGACTGACTGGAGGAGAGAGGAATTGAACCCGCTGCTCCTTGACTCTGGGGCTCTTGGCCTACACACCTGCCGGAGGTGGTGATGACTGGGTGAGATTGGATGGGGCTGGGGCGCTTTTTGGACCTTCTCAAGTTCTAGACTGTCCAAGTTGACGACATTAGTTTTCAGTGTGCTGGAATGACAGAATTCTGTTAACGAACCCAAATTCACTGTCATCGAGTTATATCGTATTCATAGTGATCCTCCAGGTGGTTGAATCTTTGCAAGAGGACAGTGGATTAGAACTGCTGACCTTTTGGTTCGAAGTGCCACACACTATACACTAGGTCGCCAGTGCTCTTTTAGTCATATTGGCTCATAAAATAATCTAGAGAATCTTTAGTAGGTAGCTGTCATTTTCTAAGTCACCAACTGGCAGCTGGTGGCCTTGAACCATCTGCCACTGGGTTGATGGTGCAAAGTCTTACCCACTAAGCTGCCAGAGCTCCCTAAGCGAGATCTGTGCCTGAGTATTCTTCAGTGTTTGTTCTGCACCACCAGCTAGAGCACAGTTTTGTCTATAAGACATTCATTGAAAATACACTGTAGTCACACCACCTTGGGCAGGAAGACCACGGGGCTCAGCTGCGATCCACCAAATGACCATGGGCACCATCCAGAAATCACAGGAACCAGGGAAAGGCAGAAGAGGACCCTTCTGTCTCGGAAGCAGCAGCCTGGGTCCCCTAACCTGCCTCTCAGGGACGTATCATGTTTAGCATATTTCTACTTGATTGAAATTGGGTCTAAACATGCCCAAGGTTGAATGGGAATGGAGGGCGTTAGTGCATTTAATTATTTCTCTGGAATAAAAATGGATTCGAGCAGCAGCTTGGAGGGAAGGCAGCAGCAATTAGAGTTTTGGAGCCAGCACGAAAACATTTGAATGTGCAATCATTGTAATAAGTACATGAAGATAAAATGAGTCAAAGGGTTACATTTGCATAAATAACCAAGGTGAAAGTGGGCGGCTGGTTAAGCACAAAGGGAGTGGGGCCATTCCTTCGCATGGAGAGATGATCAGGGGTCTCGTCTCCCAGGCAGAAGAGTTTTGGGGTTGGATGGTTGAACCCGGATTGCCAGATTGCTGACAAGTCCATTCTGATACATAGCAACCTTGTAAGACAGGGTATAACTCCCATGTGCGGTTTCCAAGCCTGTTACCATTACAGAAGCACTAGCTGCTTTGTTCTTCTGCAGAGTGCCTGGGGATTCGAACTGCTAACCTTTTGGTTAGCAGCTAAGCACTTTTACCACTTCACCGTGAGAGTTCCCAGACATAACTGTCAAGCTAATTGAGCAGGCTTCCCTGTTCATTCTTCTAACCTGCATTTAGGGCCAGAGATTTCCTGTACACCCTTCCTCCCTCCAAAACCCTGAGACCATTCAACTGAGGAAACTGAGGCATAGAGATTTTGAGTCGCTCTACTGCTGGCATTGTAGCCTTGGCTGAGTCTTCCCACCTGCGTGTACCTTAACAGGCTGTTGTTATGTGCTCTTTAGTCAGATCTGACCCTCCTGTGGGCTTTCAGAGTCATTAAATCACATAGCAGGAGATTGCCCATCTTTCTCCCATGAAGCAGCTGGTGGATTCGAACCGCGTATCTTTGTGTGAGCAGCACAATTCCTTTTTATCTAGGCCGCCAAAACTCCTGTGTCTTAGTGTGTTGTTCTTATATACTGTAGAGTGGGAACGGACTCATAGCTGACCCTCCAGCAGATTTTCAGAGCCTGTAATTCACATGGGAGGAGAAGGATTTGAACCACGTGCCTTTGGATTGGCAGTGCATGCAACTCCTTACCACTGAGGCACCAGAGCTCCCTTGTGTCTTGTACCTTCTTTCTGTTAAGACTACTACTGCCTACTTCCCTGATGCGTTTGAGAGATCGGGAGGTGTGGAGCACAGGGGAGGTGTGAGGGGTGTGGGCTTACGGGAACGGGGTCCCCATTAGGCGAGGTGAGCACAGTTTATGCAGAGTGAAGAGCCTCACACCTCTTTTCACCACAAATTAGTAGGTAAACTTGGCTAAACCCATGCTTACCTCGCTTACTGGATACTCTGTCCTAATCAGGGGCTCTGAACTTGAAAAGAGGCTTTGCTTCTGCAGGAAGGTGCTTTGAGATTGGGAGAGAGACAGATGCCAGCCACACCTAGAAGCAGAATCTTTGATGTGGTAAAAAAACGTGAGGTTGTACCCTACTCTTTAAGGCAATAAGCACAAGTTAGCTGGTGTTCAGCTTGTTTAACGGGTTCTCTGATAACTGCACACGTGGCTTCTGGTCACGTGATGGTACTCTTGTACGCATCCGCCTGGAAGCCCCTCAAAGTTGAGTTTTATGGGAAAGGGCATTGAGACTTTGGTTCGGGAATGTCTCTTCTCTGAACCCAAACTCTTCTGCAATTGGGCCAAGTCCAGCTTCCACCTCCGTCAGTTTTCTGAGGCTGTAAATCTTAACTGGAGGAGACAGTCTCCCTTTGAGAAGCTGGTGGATCCGAACTACTGACCTTTAGGTTAGCAGTGCAGTGTGTTACACAGTATGTCGTGAGGGTTCCTTCAGATATTTAGGGGAATGGTGAAAGACTGGGTCCTGTTGGCCTCTTAGTGGTCAGGACAAAGAAGAGGAAAACACTCTGGCCTCTGCAGAGAACACATTGACTTCCTGATCGTCAGAAGGGAGAAAGGAACATCAATGTCCATCTGTGAATGAAGGGTTAAAAAAACATGCATACAATGGGAAATGACTCAGCCATAAAGTGAAGAGAAGCTGTGATCCACATAGTCACTTGGACAGAGCTGAAGATGCTATGCTATGCAAACAAAGCCAGTCACAGAAAGGACAGGTACCTCTCCAATGAGGAAAAACAAGAATTAAACAAGTGTATGGAGACAAGAGTTCCTTAGTGTTCAGCAGGGGCGGGTGGGAGTGGGGTGAGGAGTCCTTGTTGAAGAATAAGTATTTCTCTTTATGAGGAGTCCTTTTATGGTGATGACAATGTTGGTAGCCATCGTCAGGGGGAGATTTGACAGCAGGAGTGATAATATTTATATCACTAAATTGTGTACTTGCAAGATGTTGAATTGATTACTGTATTACACACACATAAATACACACAAAAACACAATAGGTGTATTAAAGCTCTGGTGGCATAATCCATAGAGAGTTGTACCCATACGTGTTGCCTGTCTGGTGGTTCGAATCCATAAGCTGCTCCATGGGAGAGAGAGACAGTCTTCTCCCCTGCAATTCAGAACCTCGGAAAACCAACTGAAGGGTCATAGGTGATCTGATTTTGATCTGATGGCAGTGAGTGATAAAATGAGTAAAATATAGGTATTTTTTCTTTTTTAAGAGATAACAAAAGTTCACAGAAAAGTTGGATTTTCATTCATTCATTGCTGCACATTTTCTTCCCTCCTGCTCCCTTTCCTCTCCTCCAGTTCACTTTCACTTGACTGTCCTCTCATAAAAAATAAGTCTCCTGGTCTTCATATTCAACAGGAAGGGCTCAGACCACCCACCTGCTCTATGGTTAGTAGTCAGGTCAAATCACTTGCCCTACCCAGGGACCTCCCAGTCTTGCCAGGCTTCACCTCCTCAACTGTCTCGCTCACAAAAATCCTCTCTTTTTGTTTCCCAACTTCTCCAGGACGGCTACCTGTCACACCGGCCGAAAGAGAAGGTTCGAACGGACAGCAACAACGAGAACTCGGTGCCCAAAGATTTTGAGAACGTGGATAACAGCAACTTTGCACCCAGGACTCAGAAGCAGAAGCCCCTGCCCGAGTTGGCCAAAAGGCCAGCAAGTAAACCCAAAGAGCTTTTGAGGAAGAAGCTGGAGCAGGAGGACAAAGGGAGGGGCCGGCCGTTCCTGGGCAAGGGGGCCAATCAGGTGGTGCCTCCGGGTCACGAGAGGGCCCCGGTCAACAGCAGCCATGCCAAGGATGCCCCCCGGCAGGCCCACATCAAGAGGAGTGGGGCCAGCTCTCCTGAGATCAAATACGACCAGCCTCCCAAGTGTGCCATCTCGGGCAAGGAGGCCATCTCGGCCCTCTCTCGCTCAAAGTCCAAGGACTGTCGTCAGGAGATCGCCGAAACCTACTGTCGCCACAAGCTGGGCCTCCTGATGCCTGAGAAGGTGGCTCGATTCTGCCCACTGGAAGGTGAGTCTCCCCGTGAGCGGCCGCCCCAGGTCCAAACCCAAGGGCTCATGCGTTCTGGGACTCCCTGATTTGTGAGGTTAGAGATGAGGAATGTTTTACAAAAGTAGAAAAATCAAACTGCCTTTAAAATCAAACTGACTTTTGTTTCTGCTTTCTTTTGTTGTCGCTTCTTTTATGGCAAGAGATAAAATGACAAGGGAAACCGTGGCCCATGGTGACAGTTTCGTTATTGATAGGGCTTCGCTTCTCCCTCAGCAGAATATTGGGATTAGAATTGACAGGAATAAAAAGTATTGTAGTTGAATGTTGCTTGAAAGATTTGGAACTTAATTGCATTGATTTGGGAGGCTCGGTGGAAAAGAGCCCTGCATTTTTTCCCATCACAAATTTCTCCCTCCCATCCTCGCTGAGGAAGTTCTGGTGGCTTAGTGGTAAGGAATTGCACTGCCAACCCAGAGGCATGCAGTTCGAATCCACCAGCTTCTCTGTGGAAGAAAAATGGGCAGCCTCCTCCCCTGCAATTTACAACCTCAGAAACCCCGCTGGAGGGTCAAGTCAACAAGCCATTAAACAAACTTCCTCTCTGTCTCCCTACCTACTTCCTTCTTGCCTCCCTCTCATCCGTCCTTTCTTCCTCTCGTTCCCTGCCTGCTCCTTCCTGATGACTGGGCAGGCCGCTCCCTATAACGGAGCAGGACTCTGTTCTCCTGGAGCGCTCAGAGACCAAGTACCAGGGCTCTTGGAAGGTGGAGTGAAGAGTTGTCTTGCACACGTGAAGACCTTGCGTGTCTCTCTGTGCATCGGAAATGATGCCATTTTGAAATACAGATTTTATTTTTTCCCCTTTGTGACCATTGTGTTATGATTTGGATGAAAGTTTAGTTTCTCATTCAGCCATTTATGGACATTTTGGGGAGGGTTGTTCCATGACATTCACAGCAAGCTGTTCAGTGTAAGACCACCTGCCCACTTCCTACCTGCTTTCATTCTATTGCTATTTATATGTCTTTCCTGTCCCTTCCTGCCTTCTGGACTTTGTTTTTGGGCAAATGCTGCCCTTTCCGTCTCCTGAGGCTGAACGTGTTGAAAGTACTCCCTTTGTGGCTGTTACTGTTCGCCTTGTAGGCCCGGGTGTTTTTTAGCTGAAAGAGGATCCCACGGTGGGTTCAGTTCTAGGTGTGAATGGTATCTACCGGCACAGGGTGGAGGTTCTACCAGTCTTCACCAAACCAGTTAAATTTAGTCTTTTTGGTTTTTAAGCATTTTATTATGGTTTGAGTGAACGTTTATAGAGCACTTGGATATCCCACTCAACCATTCATATTTATTTTGTTTTATGACATTGATTACAATGCCTGCATTGGGTCTCTCTGTGGTCCCTGGCCTTTATTAATGATTTAAAAACTTGGTTCTGCATTTTCTCTCACTCTGTCTGGGATGTTGTATCGTGTGTTCAGGCAGAGCCGTCAGTGATGGTAGCCGGGCACCATCCAGTTCTCCCGGTCTCAGAGTATTGGAGACTGGTTGACTCACTCTGTCCATTAATCCAGAATTGCTAATGAGACCTGGAGTTGCTAGTCCAGGTGGCCACGTGGTAAGGAGCTCTACTGCTAACCCAAAGGCAGGCAGTTCGAATCCTCCAGCCACTATGCAAGAGGAAGACGGGCAGTCTCCTCTCCTGTGATTTACAGCCTCTGAAAACCTGCTGGAGAGTGAGGTGTGGATCAGCTCCAAGTTAGTGTTACAGACCACCACCACCATTAGTCCTTCGGATGGATCATTTCCATATGTCCCTGCTCCTTTTCATTCTTCTTTGCTTGAAGTACAATTTTTGCTGGTGAGTCTCATCTTATCCCCAGTGGTAACTAACAGAGGAATGGTGACAGCAGCAGGTCTCACTGGGTCACAGTGCACTTAGCACCATACCAGGCCTGTGACGTTCATTATCTCATCTCACCAACCACCTCATAATGTTGGCACTGTTGTTAATGTGTCTTGACTTTTCAGGTGAGAGAGAGGTGACATGACTTCCCCAAGTTCGTGCACCTTGTGAGTGGGTGGCCTTGGCTGGGTTTGAACACTCAGGTGTCCAGCCTGTCCCCTTTATTATCCATTATCTGTGACTCCAAGGCCAGGTGATATAAAATGAAGACGTGTGCGGTCACAGAGACTTCCAGTTGGCTGGTCCCACACACACTTGTCGAGTGTTGCTGTCGATTTTTGGTCCTGGACTGGAGCTAGGAGTCAGGTGTGCGTTTACACTTTTGTATGTGTGAATGGTGGGGGCTGTGGGACAGCTAACATCTTTGAGCCAATATTGTGTCTGGGTTTTTTTGGTGTGTGCTTTTTTCTCTGGGTTCCATAGAACTTAGTGTTCTGAGGCCACTAGACAGATGAGGAGCTAAGCCTCAGAGAAGGTGCAGCACAGACTCCAGCTTGCATGCTCAGTGATGGAGCTGGAGCCTGACCTCTGACGACTCTGGGCAGTTCCCATGGCAGTGATCTTTCCACTAATCCCATTGCTGCCCTGAGCAAGGTCTTTACTGACAGAAGGCGCTTGGACTGTGTTCCTGATGCCGTAACACCATTTCCAGAAAGTCACTGCGAGAAATGCCGTGTTGTGAGGTGGTCCTGTAGAGCCACGGGCACAGCGTCAGACCTGGGTTATAATTCAATTCTGTCTCTGGTCCCCGTAACTATCGAAAGATCCATTTTCTCATCCTTCAAGTAGAGAAGACAAAAATGCCCCTTATGTGACTTCTGAGAGCGGAAAAATACGTCATGAGGAAGGTCATCTGGCACATGAAATGTGCCCAGCAGAAGGCATTTCTGGCATGACGTGAGGGCCAGCACGAGAGAGGAAGACCTTGATGAAATGCATTGATTCAGCGACTGGGGTAATGGGGGTAGGTGTGTCGGAGACAGTGAGCTTGGCCCAGGATAGAGCAGGGTTTAGGGCTGTAGGACAGAGGGCAACAACTTGATGGCTCATAACCACACCACCACCACCTTAGGGCTTAAGGAGCTCTGGTGGCCTAGTGGTAAGAAACTGCACTGCAATCCCGAAGGCCTGCAGTTCTAATCCACCACCTGCTCTGCTGGAGAAGGATGGCCAGTCTCCTCCCATGTGATTAATGGCCTCTGAAAATCTGCTGGAGGGTAAGCTATGGGTCGATTTTGACTCAATGATACTCAACAACCACTACCACCTTGGATTTTGCTATATCTTGGTTTCCTTTGACCTTGAGACAGCCCGATGGGGTTTTGTGTCATCATCTGCTGCTAGGAATCTTGACGCTTTTTTTGCCTCAGCCAAGGTGATGCCACCTCAGAGCTGCCTAACGAGAGTGGCATTTAAGAGCCGTCACACGCCCGGGCCCTGGCAACACTTTAATTTGCTGCAGCACAACCTCCCCCTTTTGCAATAAATTTACTGTGAATAGACTAATTGCAAAATAACCCTAATTGGGTAGTTATCAATGAACAACTTCCCGTGGAACAAAACGGCTTACAATTAATAGCATTTAAGCCATAAACTATTCTTCTGCAGAAAGCTAAGATGTAATTACACCCCATACGGAGATTGTGTTTCCTTTCTGGAAAGCATGACACCCGGTTCCCCTCTGCGAGGGGGGCCCGCTGCTCACTTCCGTGGCTCTCTTTCTGCTGTTGAGTTTGGAGCTGGAAGGGGAGTGGAGGGAAGTTTATGTAGATAAATGTGTATGTCTGTGGGTAAACACACACAGACACGCATGCATCCGCATACACAGGCACATGTGCGCACCACGTTTATGTTTTGTTTCACTCTATATCAACCAAGCCTTAGCCAGTGTTACACCGGAAGTTGAATATAATTAAGGGAAGCTTACGTCTAAAAGGGAGGTCTGGTAGCATAGTCTGTAGAAAGCTGTGCTGTGAGCTGAAAGGCCATGCCTCTCTGATGGATCAAATCCACCAGCTGCTTCACAGGAGAAGGGTGGGCTGTCTCCTCCCATGCAGCTTCCAGAAACTTCCAAAACTCACAGGAGGGTCAGCTGTGCGTCACTTCTGACTCGACAGCAATGGCTTTGACTTTTTAACAGCTAATGTAGGGAGCTCTTACGTTGGCGGTAAGAAGCTGTGCTGCAGTCCCAAAGGCGCACGCAGTTCAAATCCACCAGCTGCTTCCCAGGAGAAGGGTGGGCTGTCTCCTCCTGTCCGATTTACTGCCTCTGAAAACCCGCCAAAGGGTCAGCTATGGGTCAGCTCGGGTTCTCAACAACAACAACAACAACAACAACAACAACAACGACAGTGTTGTTGTTAAATGCCACCGAGTTGGAATAGCCGACCCTTCGGCCAGATGATTGGAGGAGATGGTCCACCTCTTTTCTGCGGAATAGCTAAATGGTGGATTCAAATCATCTGCCTGCCTTTTTGGGTTGATGGCACAATCTTACCACTACACTTAACCACTACGGCAAGTCAGAAAAACTCAGAGGAGAGGAAATAAATATAAATGCTCAATATTGACTTCTCTGCAATTATAAATGCTCAATATTGACTTCTCTGCAGAGCCTCTGTGCCTCTTGCCTCCTTCCTGTCCCTGCTGTCACCCATCAAGGGGACTGAAGTAATGAGTTCCCTGGTAGCATTCTTGGCTTCCCTGAAGGAGGCTTGACCTTGGTTCACCTCTTGTGAACCACAGGGGCATCCATGAAAGCTTGCAGATTGTGACACTGAACAGGCTTCAGTGGAAATGCCAGACTAGGATGGACTAGGAAGAAGAGCCTGGCAATCAATCTACTTGTGAGAACCAGCCTATGAAGACTGGAGGGATCACAGAAGCCTGATCCCTGTATGGTCTCAAGCCTAGCAAAGTACTTGTCAGTGAGTCATTGCTTTGCATGTGGGGTCACCATGAGGCTGGGGTTGACTCGATGCTGTCGGATGCCCACAGAGGCGGGGAAGGGAGAGTGTGGGTTGCTTGCTGCAGAGACGTGCATACACATCGCTTGCAG